CTTTACATCTGCTGTAAAACCCATGTTCATACATATATATAGCCAGCCACTGTTATACTCACAGCCCACATTTGTGCTGGGGGGGGTGATTTTGGAAGGAGGGAGGATATGTGCTAGGAGTGGAGATTTGGGGGGGGGTGTTTGCTAGGGTGGGGAGCGAGGATTTACAACCTACGGATCACTGAGCTCTGCCTCACAAGCTACATTTTAGGACTTGTTCACACCAGGTGCAGTGCAGTAGTGTGTGGCTGAGATAGCAATGGGAGCCCATTGGCTCCTGCTGCTGTCAATCACAGCCAGTGAGCCAATGAGGAGAGAGCAGGATGGGAAGGCCGAGCCGCGGCTCTATGTGTCTTATGGACGCATAGAGCAGTGGTTCGGGTACAAGGAGGCAGCGGTGCCCCCAGGGCAGGCAGCTTCCCCAGGTGGCACTGTTTGAGGGGGAGGAACCAGGAGCTACGGCTACCAGAAAAGAAAAAGTTTGGGGTTGTTCTGTGTAAAACCACTGCACAGACCAGGTAAGCCATGTTTGATATTATAGAAAAAAAAAAAAAAAGCTTTAATGTCACTTAAATTCTTAATGGCACCCCCATGCATCTAGCATGTGTGCATGCATTCCCACCAGCTAAAAACATGCTGGCACCTATTTTGCATGTTTCACATGCATAGATCAGCCCATTAACCGCCTCCCGTCCACCCTATAGCAGAAATACTGCTACAGGGTGAAACGGGTGTGCAAAATTACATATATATATACACACACACGTGATTTTGCAGTTCCAGGTAGGGGGCCACGGCTCTCAATCACTGTATCCAGGCCAGTGATTACTCGTCGGCGCCCAGTGATTGCCGAGGATCTCCGATGGGGAGTTGAACTGTTTGTAAACAAAACAGTTCTCCCCTGTCAGCTCGTGCACACTGCTTTGCATGTCTGTGCACAGCACAGACATACAAAGCAGTGTGTTTACAGTGAAGCACAGACTGTCCCATAGTAAAACACACCCAGCACACAGTTAACCCTTTGATCGCCCCTCATGTTAACCCCTTCCTGCCCAGTGCCATTAGTACAGTGTCAGTGGGTTTTTTTAGCACTGATCACTGTATTGGTGTCACTGGGGATGTCAGTGACACTAACTCATTTCCCCAGTGTCAGAATGCCTGCCACAGTCCCACTATAAGTCACTGATCCCCACCATTACTAGTAAAAATTAATTCCAGTATCTATACCGCCATTTGTAAACGCTATAACTTTCAACAATTAATTTACACATATTGGGATTTTATTGTAGCAAAGACATGTAGCAGAATACATTTTGGCCTAAATTTATGACAAAATTAGATTTTTTAAATTTATTTTACTGGACGTGTTTAATAGCAAAAAGTAAAAAAAAAAAGTTTTTTATCTCAAAATTGTTGGTCTTTTTTTTTTATAGCGCAAAATATAAAAAAATGCACAGGTGATCAAATACCACCGAAAGAAAGCACAATTTGTGGGGAATAAAAAGAACATAAATTTAATTTGGGTGCAGAATTGCATGACCGCGCAATTGTCAGTTAAAGTAACGCAGTGCCGTAACACAAAAATGGCCTAGGCAGGAAGGGGGGTAAATCCTCTGGAGGGCAAGTGGTTAAAAACACACAATGCGTGGGAATGCACAAAAAAGACACACCTCCTGATGTAAATGAGCCCTCAGACTCAGTACCCCAAGATATTGCACAATTCTAAACAATGCTTTGACTGGAAAAGGTTGAGAAACATTGGTCTAGGGCAGTAAAGTGAGCAAGGCAGCACCAAGTGTCAATATTTACAGATTGTGATTACTTTTACTTATTTCCATTTTTTTCTTCCATCTCTACACACTAGTCTAGTGGCTGGGCTCAGCAAGAGAACTGTCAGGGGAATAGAATACAAAGGATATTCAAAAGTTGATTCTGTGATAATCCCTCCGCACTGCTACAGAGTTAACTCTCTTGTACCTTACCAATCCAGAACTGTGATTCTCACACTATCAGGCTTGGTTCACACCTATGGGACAACTACTGTGAAAGGGGGTCCTAGTGCTTAGCATAAAGCATAAAGCAGTCCCATAAAGCTTTCCATATATTTTCTTAAAAGCAATAAAAATACACACATCCACCAAGTTTGTCACATAAATTATTATATACTTTATATTCCTCCCACTGGTTCTGATTCTGGGCAAAAATGACACTGCTGCTGTGGACCAAGCATACTCCCTGTCTCCTCCCATACACGTGATGATGTCACTATGACTCTGCCCTACGCATTACCTCCATAGACTTCCTTCCTTACCATAACTGCCCAGTGTTCAGGATGGAAAGTGGAAGGTGCCCTGCATGTAGAATTCCCTCTGTAATCCAAAAACAGAAAGTTGCTGCCCTGGCAATTGGTGTTCTCTTCTGACACTATAGATTGTGGACGGGCCCTTGGCATCCTCATTTAAAATGCCGGACTGCTTGTTCTGCATTGTATGTGATGACAACCAACAGAGTAGCAAACAGAAGCAGATTAGGGGGACTGGTTGTTCATCTGGAAGCAAGGGATGTGGTAAGTAAAACTTTTTAAGCCCTGGTTTACACATATGCGGTTTGAGGTGCAGAAATTGGATGATATTAGCAATCACGTGTTTGTATATGGAGCGTTTATATACAGTATATGCGGTGAAGCCGCACTGCATTTTTCAAAAAGGGTCCTGTGCAAGTTTGTAGTAGTGAGATCTGAATTTCAAGTATATGGAGTGCAGTGGAAAACGGGTACTGTATTCAGATGTATAGCGATTCTAATTCGGTTTTGGAGCGAGATGCAAAAATGCAGGTGTCCCAAAACTGCATGAAAATCGCATTGGTAGTCAAGCAGAAACGCTGCTGATTTGCACCGCAGCTGATTTCCCAAATCGCACTATCCAAAGAATACTTTATATTTTCTCCATGAGTGAAAAGCATTCTCTGATTGGACGTTGTGGAGATCATCACATCACTATTTTGCCTCTTTCCCTCATCCAATCAGAGAATGCTTTTGCATTGACTGAGAAAATACAAACCATTATTAGAATGGTACCTGTGCTGACCGTGTGACCTCCTGTGGTCACTAAGCAGAAGGGCAGCTGTTCAGCACAGGACCAAGAAGATAGAGGCATTCACTGTACCTTGACCAATGTGACTATGCAAAAATACCCAGACCTGGAATTAAGCCAATGTTCCCTCTAGGCAAAAAATGAACATTAAACCCTGCAATGCAAGGGGACCCCCCTGCAAGTGTAACTTTGGATTTTGCCTGAGTTCAGGTTCAATCATGACACAAGGGCAGGGCCTGTACCCAATCTGGTGTTTCTAGGGCATTACGATGTCTAAGTTTAACCCTGTTTGTTTGTATTTTGTGTGTGGGTATTGTAAGGTGTGCAATAATGTCTCTCTGAGTCTGATAGATTTGTAGCATTATAGCCCTGCATGGGGGTAGACTACATAAGGTTGCTGGCAAAGACAGGAATATGCAAAATCATGGTAAAAAATGATGCAACAGAGAAAACTGCAGGGCTATTGACAGGTCAGGAGAGCCCTTTTAATCGAAGACTATGGCCAGCCGCTGCTTGTAAGAGTTTGTTTTTTTTATGTGTATACCAACTTCACAATATGTCGTTATACTAAAATCAGTGGTATTTTATGCAATGTGATTAAGTGGGTGAAAGAAAAAGTTACTGCTTCACACTACCAGCTGTCTGGTCTCGTTCAGACAGGGAGCAGTCTCTACCTCCCCTCTAATCCCTCTGAAAAGCTTTCAGCAGTGGCAGCAGTAGAATGCTTTTCAGAGGCCTAATAGAGCAGCAGCTTCTAGGAATTCCGGAGGTATTGCCTTTTTTTTTTTTTTGCTGAAGCTGGATTTTGTATTGAAACACGTCACAACCAATCCAAGTATTTGGCTCACAAATGCGGTGCGGTCCTGTTGATTTCAATGGGTGAGTCAGACAGGCAATGCTGGCCTATAGCCACTAGCCTACATTTTTTTTTTTAAAGCCAGTGTCCAACCCACTTGTAAATGAAGGCATAACCACTAAGGTTTAGGATTTCCTGTTTCTCTCAGTGGACAAGAAAGAAAGAATAGCTTTCCAGCTGGCAGCGACTTGAACCTTTGCTCTTGCAAACCTCCAGTCACTCCAGAAACCCAACAAGTCTGGATGTGTTAGCTAGCTTGTCCCGCAGTGTGCACTATGGCCCCTCTTGCAATAATAGTGTAGGGGTTGGCAGGAGAAACCACAATCTAAGTTCTATTAGCATCCACATTGACTTTAAGGTGCAGCCTGTCAACTCAACATAACATGTTAAATTATATGTAAACATATTGTAAAAACAATCTATTCAGCTTAAAATGGAAAGAGAATAGGATACTTTTTCATACAAATTTATGGTACATGTACATATTCTTGAACCACCTAACCACTTGCCCTCCTGAGGATTTACCCCCCTTCCTGACCAGGCCATTTTTTGCGTACTTACAGCGCTGTGTTACTTTAACTGACAATTGCGCGGTCATGCAATGCTGCACCCAAATGCAATTTACATCCTTTTTTCCCACTAATTGAGCTTTGTTTCGGTGGCATTTGATTGCCTGTGCATTTTTTATTCTTTGCGCTATGAAAAAAAAAAAAAAAGACCGACAATTTTGAGAAATAACACAAAATATTTGACTATTGAACATGTCCAGTAAATACATTTAAAAAATCAAATTTCTTCATAAATTTAGGACAAAATGTATTCTGCTACATGTCTTTGCTAAAAAAAAAAAAAAAAAAAAAAAACCCAATACGTGTAAATTAATTAATTAATTGGTTTACGTGAAAGTTATAGCGTTTACAAATGGCGGTATAGATACTAGAATTTTTTTTTTTTTTTTTACTACCACTGCCGGCAATCAGCGACTTATAGTGGGACTGCGGCAGACATTCTGACACTGGGGAGGACTGACTTGGTGTCACTGACATCCCCAGTTACACCAATACAGTGATCAGTGCTAAAAAAAAAGGACTGACCCTGTACTAATGGCACTGGGAAGGAAGGGGTTAACATGAGGGGTGATCAAAGGGTTAACTATATGCAGGGAGTGTTTTACTGAGGAGCGGTGGCAGTGTGCTTCACTGTAATCACACTGCTCTGGATGGCTGTGCTGTGCACAGCCATCCAGAGTAGTGTGCCCAAGCTGACAGGGAGGACTGTTAGTAAACAAAACAATCCTCCTCCCCATTGGAGATGCTCGGTAATCACCGGGCACTGGTGGGTAATCACCGGTCGGGACACGGTGATTGACAGCCACAGCCGCGAATGGCGGAAATGTAAAGTCACGTCTGTATATGTGATTTTGCATACCTTTGCCAACCTGTAGCAGTATATCTGCTATAAGGCGGCGGGAAAGCGGTTTAATTTGCTGTGGCCATCTCCTGGTTGCTAGGAAATCAGGCAGTTTTAAGACAAAGGTATCCTACCAATCCTAGTGTATCTATCTTGCAATTAAATTTATCTCTTTTTACATTATAAGTCGAAGGTATTCAAAATGTAAATCTGTCAGATGTCTAAAACAGGATGAAACTGGACACAGAGTTTATAATTTTTTCCATTGCTCTGAGATTTTCTGGGCTCTTTTTTCCAGGCTACACTGCTTTGTGCGATGATTAAGGATACAAACATTTCTGATTGGCAACTGTCATGGATTTCAGCACTGTGAAGCATATCGTACAGTTTTGGTTAAAAACTAGACCACAGAGGCACAGATACAATTCTAAGATTAGCTTGAAAGCTTTACTTTGTGACATTTAGCAACAATCCCGATGTTTCCCTTGATATTTTAAATACATTAATACTTTAATACATTAAAAACTATAGATCTGGCAATACTTATGGTTTATGCAGAAATAAAAGTCAGTGAAATGAAGGTAAAGCTTTAGCAAGACAGCCAGGCAATAAGCTTTTTCAGTATTATAGTTTGTCTCAAAGCCTGTATTTTCAGCTGGACAGTTTAAACTGTATGCAAATGTAGAGGAAATATAAAGAATATATTAAAGAGTGAACATACCATCTCATTACATGTAGTAACTACATACAGTTATCAAAATACAATTGTTTTTGCAACAGTGTTCCTTTAAGCTTTTTTAATAAAGTTTATATTTTGAGCAATGGTTCACTGGCCATTTGAGCAAAGAGAAAAAGCAGTAAGACTTTTTATAGGGTTTATAAATGGAGCAGTACCTGAGATACTCTATAAATGAGAGCAAATGGTTTCTCAAGCCTTTTACTTAGGATGACTTATAGTGGACCTGAACTCAAAAGGAACATCTAGAAATACTGATTATACCTAAGAAATACCTTGAAATTTTTCCACGAATCCCTTGTAAAATATAGCAGTGCATTCCTGGCATGTGGCTTTGCCTAGACAGTCCTGTTCTCTAGCCGTATATTTGCAGTGTACGGTCATCTAGGCACTGCTGCCCCTGGCTGATAGTCTTACAAGATATGGAGTAAGATTTTGTGATGTCACTAAACTGTTGCTCACTGTTCTTTTGAGGACTTTCTGAACAGAAAACTGTACATAAGGAGCTGTAGTGTTTAATTCATTCTGTTAATCTGTCCTTCATCCACCTGTCTTGCTGCTTCTTGAATATTACCCCACCAATCATCAGATCAACAGTTACGAGGGGGGGAATCTCTGACTAAAGGAAGCAAAGCCCTGTGCCTACCAAGTTGGCTGCCTCCACACAGACACTGGGGGAGATTTAGCCCTGGTTCACATATATGCGGTCATGCGGGCCGCGTTTTGCGTGAGCATGAGAGCCCATTCATTTGAATGGACTCCCTGCCCCGTAACACGCAGGGAAGAAGTCCCTGCACTTCTTTGGAAAACACAGTCCACACGGGAACCTCGGTTCCCAGTACAGCAGCGTTTTCCAGTGCGGGCGGCGTGCCATTAGAACTAATGGCACCCGCCCGCGGGTCCACAGTCTTCTGTACGGGTGGTCAGCTGCAGATGTGAACCTAGCCTTAGGCTGGCCATACATTAAACAATTATCTGGAGATTTTTGGTTTAGATTTACCAAAAACCATATAATAGGAGGACAAACCTAAACAACACTTTCAGTTGTATCCAATTAGGCAGGCTCTTGCACTACACAGTTGAAGGTAAATCTAAAGGAAATTGGGCAGAAAATTGGAAGATAATTGTATAATGTATGGCCAGCCTTACTAAAACTGGAGCACTCTGAATCTGGTGCAGCTGTGCATGGTAACCAATCAGTTTCTAATTTCAGCTTGTTCAGTTAAGCCTTGAGAATAAGAGCTGATTCACACGTGTGGTGCGGATTGAAGCTCAGGTTTCACAGCTAATTGATACAGTAGTTGTTCTCAAGTTCAGGACAGGATTAGGTCAGGATTTTATCCTGTTCACACATTTGTGGTTTAGAAACAGTTCCCATAGAAGTCAACAGCCTGTAATCCACTCCTGAACAGGACCACACTGTTCAGAAATCGTACATGACTTTTTAAAACCTCACTGAATCCACATCAGCAGTGCACTGGACATATCTGAACAGGCACCACAGGAAGCAATGTTTTTTCACGTCATGAGGATTGGATGTGGATCAAACCGCATCCAATCCGCATATATGTGAACGGGTACTTAAACTTGAAAGCTGATTGCTTTCTATGCAGAGGTGCACCAGATTATGCACTCTTCAGTTTTAGTAAATATATACCACGGTTTGGAAAACGACACTGTAAGTCAGAATTGGGGAACATTTTTACTTTATCTTTTCCCTCTGCTAGCTTTTTGGACACAGAAGCCACAGTACAGGTTATTTATAATGATCAGTGAATTAGCCATTTGATGCAATTAGCCTGACTGATTTTATCCCCCTGACTACCGAAGAAGCCTTTCGTCATGATTTTGGAATAAAGCTAGGCTTTCTGAATAATTTTTCCAACAACTCCAAGATTGTCACCATGGGTATTTACTTAGCTCCTTGCATTTGTATATTCAAGTATCTAAACTCAAAGTTCTTGTGTCCTTATTACTTCTTGTAGACTAAACTGAAACCTCAAAGAATGTTAAAAGCTTTCTCTGCTATCTTCTGAGAACTGCTAAGAAACCCTCTATGTCATGGAGATAAGAAGGAGGGAATGTTTGCAGTTCAAATCAGGAGTGTAGCCTAGGATGTAGTAATTGTGTTATCAACCCTAGAAGAGGAAGGGTGTTACTGGGATAATCACCAAGTGAAAGTAGCCCATCGGTTGGAAAGGGGACAAATCATTTGTTAATCCTTTCATCAGAGGAGTGATCAAAATGTGCAAGTAACCCAAACTTAATCATATAACCAAACTTAAAATTTCATGTACTAAGATTATGCAATAGTGCTACTAGGTGGCAGACTAAAAGCATAGAATTACTTATACTTGGGCTACTTTCATTCTGCTCCTTGCAAAAATGCAGTAAAAATGCTCATGTTTTTCCCACGTTTTGCACCTGTGAAAAAAGGACATGTGACTGCTGCGTTTTTCATTCATTTCAATGGGCAGTGTGTGTTTTTTTTATACCACACCAAAAATGCAGCAAGCAAGACTTTTGTAAAACGCAACAAACCCGCAACTGTCCAGTGTGAAGAGTTCCAAAGGATTCAATGGTCATGCAAAAACAGAAGAAAAACGGATCTTCTTTAGACTTACACAGAAAGGGAATCCTTGCTGCACAAAACACCAGTCGTTAAGTTCTGGCTAATGACTCATGATATGTTTCCAGTTATTAGTTTTGCAAAATTAACTGCACGTATTTATCTTGCATGTTCTCTATGCATTTTAATTATGGGTGGCTGTTGAAACTTTTGCAAAGTAAAATTTACAATTACTTTAACTTTGAACTGAATTTTATACAGTTAGGTCCATATATATATTTGGACACAGGCACAATTTGGTTTTTTTTCAGGTATTTACCAAAACATATTCAAGCTATAGTTATATAATGGATATGGGCTGAAAATGCACACTCTCAGGTTTAATTTGAGGGTATGTATATCCAAATTGGAGGAAGTGTTTAGGAATTACAGCTCTTAAGAGTAGCCCTCCCCCCTTTTTCAAGGGACCAAAAGTAATTGGACAATTGAATCAAAAGCTGTTTCATGGCCAGGTGTGGGCTACTCCTTCGTTATTTCTTCATCAATTAAGCAGGTAAGAGGTCTGGAGTTGATTCTAAGTGTGGTATTTGCATTTGGAATCTATTGCTGTGAACCTACATCAAGCGTTCAAAGGAGCTGTCCATGCAAGTGAAACCGGCCATCGTAAAACTTCAAAAACGAAACAAATCCATCAGAGAGATAGCAGCAATATTAGGAGTGGCCAAATCAACAGTTTGGTACATTCTAAAGAAAGAACGCACTGGTAGGCTCAGCAACATAAAAAGGCATGGACATCAACGGAAGACAAGTGAAGGACATTCTCCAGGAGGTGGGCGTATCATTGTCAAAGTCTTCTACTAATAGAAGACTTCATGAGAGAAAATACAGAGGGTTCATCACAAGGTGCAAACCATTCATAAGCCTGAAGAATAGAAAAGCCAGATTAGATTTTGCCAAAAAACATCTAAAAAGCTAGACCAGTTCTGGAAAAGCATTCTTTGGGCAGCTGAAACTAAAATTAATCTGTACCAGAATGATGGGAAGAAAAAAGTGTGTAGAAGGCTTGAAACAGCTCATGATCCAAAGCACACAACATCATCTGTAAAACATGGTGGAGGCAGTGTGATGGCATGGGCATGCATGGGAGTCATTGGTGTTTATTGATGATGTGACAGAAGACAGAAGCAGCCGGATGAATTCTGAAGTGTTTAGAGATATACTGTCAGCCTAGATTCAGCCAAATGCAGCAAAGTTGATTGGACGGCGCTTCACAGTACAGATGGACAATGATCCAAAACACACTGCAAAAGCAACCCAGGAGCTTTTGAAGGAAAAGAAGTGGAATATTCTGCAATGGCTGAGTCAATCACCTGATCTCAACCCAATTGAGTAGGCATTTCACTTGTTGAAAGCAAAACTAAAGGCAGAGAGATCCACAAACAAAGAACAACTGAAGACAGCTGCAGTTAGAGCCTGGCAAAGTATCAGAAAGGAGGAGCTCCAGTCTTTGGTAATGTCCATGGTTTCCAGACTTCAGGCAGTCATTGCCAGTAAAGGATTCTCAACAAAATATTACAAATGATCATTTTATTTATGATTATATTCAGTTGTCCAATTACTTTTAGTCCCTTAAAAAAGGGGGGATTGCTACTCTTTAGTTGTAATTCCTAAACCCTTCCTCCAATTTGGATGTACATACCCTCAAATTAAACCTGAGAGTGTGCACTTTTAGCCCATATCCATTATATAACTAAAGCTTGAATATGTTTTGGTAAATACCTGAAAAAAACTAAAATTGTGCCTGTGTCCAAATATATATGGACCTAACTGTATAATTTAGGCTTCAAAGGATGTTTTTACTGTCGCTCCTAGGGGCATCTGGGATTTGTTTCTGCCTCTAAAGGCCCCTGCATTTTAGCTTATGTATCCCTGCATACATAGGTGTTTAGAGGAGTTTGGAGGAAGGGGTGTTTAGAGGAAAAAGAACAAAACCCAAAACACTGCCAGCATATCCAGAAGCAGCTGCGTTTTGACAGAAAAACTACTTGACACCTGTAAACACACCTAAGCGTTAGGCCCATTTAGCATTGAGTGTTAATTAATTTCAATAGCCAGAATAAATTATTATTCTGGCCATTGAAATGAATTAATCCCCAAGCACTTGACATGTCTAAATGCATTACATGTGTTTACAGGCGCCAAGGGTTTTTTCTGCCAAAACACTATTGCCAGGTAGAAAGGCATCTAGGAAAGATAGCAAAACATCCAGTATGCATGATGCCTTATTGCAGCTACAGTATATTTAGCAGCTTCTTACGGATCTAAATGGACTTCTGAATTTGTAGCAAACAACTTCACTGGGAAATCTAGGAAGGGGGGGGGGAGGGAGTACAGGTTCAAATCAAGGTAATACATTTAATTTAAAATCTAAAAAGAAAATAAGAGCATACCACAAGGAGAATACCCATGAAACATGAAAAGAAGCTTCATGTACCAGTCAGTGGTAGACAGAAGGTCTACAAACAGAGCCACAATAGTGGTTTCTTCACCTGCAATAAGTGATTATTCAAGCTTTTCAGTTCTCTTATAACACTGTATTTTGAGTGTTTTAATCTGCTTTGGTGCAAAGAATTATTTGAAACATGCAGCAGCGAAGTGGCTACTGATGAAAATTAAAACAAAAACAAGATCATGGCTGCTATTACAGCTACAAGCTTTTAAACTCCTTGACTGCCATAACTTCTGGGACCCATCCTTGGTAGGAATGAGCTTGGGTGTGTTTGTATTCTAGTCGAAACCCAAGCAGTGAGCCTACCAGAAGTTGTCACGTGTACTGGGCAACAAGTATACTCGCCCTTTGTATACATGTGGCTGCACAGGGGAGGATATCCCAGTCGCAGATTCTTGGCTGAGTACAGGTGACGGCTTCCTTTTGGGCTCATTCACTTGGGTGCAGACTAGGCTTTGAATACACCCAAGCTTGCTTCTATTCCATAGCAGTCTAATCTTCTTTTGTGTAATAAATTATTTAAAGGAGAAGTACAGCCAAAGCTCTTTTGGCTGTATTTCTCCTGTGAATCACAAAAATGCAGTTCATTCTGCACTTCTTTGAACTGTTTTCAGCTGACAGCAGACTGAAGCACACTGTCGGCTGACGTCACTCAGTCGATCCAGCTCAGTCTTTAAAGTCGGGATCCACCCCAGAGTCTGGAGCGGCACCTGGCTCAGCCTCCCAGCGAGCTGCTGACAGCCTGAGCCAGCCACTGTAGGAATTGTCTGTTGCACAGCCAGCAACAGACAATTCCTACAGCACTGTAGTAGAAATTGGGATTGTATGGACTGTGAGCTCCAGTGAGCCTTAACACTGCTGATGTTTGCAGAAAAAAATACATCCTACACACAACTGGCAACATAACTTTATAGAAAATGTCAACAAGTGGACATGACAAAAGACAGTTCAATTATTTACTATCAACATTTCTACAAAAACAATACTTTAGAAAATTAATCTGCTTAAAATTTAAAATTTTAAAATATCAGCATCCTGTTGAAGAAATAAGACCTAAAATCAAAGAAAATTAGATTTGAACTATATTTTCACACATTTCTTTTCTTAGCTTTACAATAAAAATGAGATATTAATAAAACTGCATTGTTGTTATTCAAAATGTCTGCATACAAACATAAATATAATACAGGATAAAAATTTAATAAATTGCAAAACACTTTTAAATATAAGAAAAGCAGACATTTTGCTAGAGACACCCATACTCAAGGTCGCTGGGTATTAGGACGTCTGGAATTTTGTCTCTTCTGTTCCTTTTCTTTCTGCAACTACAAAACATGTAACATGAGCAACAGAACACCACTGATAATGCAAAATATGTAATTAAAGCCCAACTAAAGACTTATTATATTTTAAAACTGTAATGCAGTTAGGCTACATAAACTGTAATAGATGATCCACCCAGAACCCTGGACTGGCACCTGGCTCAGCCTCTCAGTGATCCGGTGAGAGCCTGAACCAGCCCTTCCCACCCCTCCACAGCCCAGTGCTCTAGTGAGCACTGGATGGGTAGAGCCTGGGGCTGGCAGTCCATGCTCTTTGCTCAGAACAGAGAGGGAGAACTGAGTGATCATGGCCTTTAATCGCTTAGTTCTTAGTGCAGAGCTGGCAGGGGACAGATGCAGCATTAGATCGATGCTGCCTCCATCTAGGGGAGTGTAATGTTTTTTTTTTTCAAATGCCCATACTTCTCTTTTAAATGTGATGCCAACACATGGCATTTTAACAATAGCTGCAGCACAATAATACACTAAAAAAGGCACATCTATTACTGCTTGAGAATCCTAACTGCATTACAGTAATAAAAAGAATGTTTAATTTGGCTTTAAAGTGATTGTACAGAGTGGCCCCGAACCTCCTCTTCTGGGGTCCCCCCGCCAGCACTCTAGGTTCCTCCTCCCTTCCAAGTACCCTAATAGCAAGCTGCTTGCTGTGGGGACATTAATGCAGGCTCAATCCTAAACCAGATTGTGTGCATCTATAGACATAGCGCTGGATTTTGGGAACAGCACTGGATCAAGATTGGACTTGGGTAAATAATTGTAGGGGGGCTGATCATGGAAGGTTTTTTTATTTTTACCTTTATGCAGAGAATGCCTTAAGGTAACAAAAATGTAAGCCTTTACGCCAATTAATATCACCTTATCACTTTATATTATTATTATGGATTTTTAGCCCACGCTATGAACTTGTTCATATAGCCTAATATACTGCTACAGTGCCATCTTGTGGCTATTCTGTAATATAACAGTTTCACTTACCATATTTCTGTTGGAAGTAAGCATCAAGCCACAAACTTTTACACATAAATCACCTAACAGCTTTTTTCATATAATACAACCTTCTCAGTTATTTAATTGGAACTTTAGTAAAAAAATTAAGTTCTGCTAGATCACTTTAGGCTGGTCACCTTTGCAGGTATAGCTACGTTAAACATTCAAAACAAGTGTCTAAATTGTTTAAAATGCAGTAATACATTGTCTCACCCTGTTCTGCACATGCTCAGTTGCTCTCCATTTTAGGCACTGCTCAATCTGTAGCGGCTGATATGCTGACAGCCTTCAAACAGAATTAAACCTTCCTGTCCTTTACAGCTATACCCTCCATCTGTTTGATCTGCAACTGCTATGGCACTGGACATGTGATCAGTTATGACACCAGCCATTTGATGGTTTGACAGTTTGGCTGACAGCACATGCAAATGTGACAGTTAGCAATCCTGGCATTCCAGGAATGTGACTGATTTTTTAAACCATTAAATCAATGGATTTAGTTCTGATTTATACTCTGTTCAGGGGCTCTAGGCTTCAACAAAATGGCAGCATCCAGCAAGAAGAAACAGGAGCAATGCTGAAGGCAATTTACAGCACACACCACTTTTGGTAGCAGAATTATTAACGTGCAATGTATGTTCCTTGCTAAAGAACATTTTTTATCAAGTTCTGCTTTAACACATGCTCTGTGATGCCACTCTCTCAACAAAATGATTCAAACAAGTTTTGTCCAACTGTCAATTTTCATCAATGGTAGGCCTGAACCGGACAGGTGGCCTCAACGTAGAACAGTCTCACTAAACACAAATAATTAGTCATCTTAACTCATTTAAAAAAAATACAGTAAAAGATATTTATTATGACAATGTCGTTACCTTTCACATATCCTAATTTGCATCCTGATGTATTGTAAAATGTGGATAATCAAATAAAAATAAACTTCATCCAGGTAGAATTGTGCTATCAGATAAAAAACATCCTTTCACTGAGGTAGGGACTGGTATGAATAGCTTCATGAAAAGCTAAAGCTATGCAATCTTTTTTGAGCCATGTGAATAAAATTTAAAAATGCAGATGATCAAAATAGATTATATATATATATAGTATATTAGTTGTCAACCTTTCCTATTAGATTATTAGAAACACAAGTAGAGATCTGTGCCATTACTATACAAAGAATTACAAAATCATGAAATAGCAAGTTTGTATTTGTACTTGCTGTGCATGTGAGCAGCATGCTTATTCTTAGATGGGATGGCTGCATTAGTTTTCTTTTTTAAGCTTTCTTTTATGTTCAACGGATGATCCAGCCAGTACGTTTTTTTTTTTCAAAAGAACAACCTCTCTTGCAGATGTAGCTGTTACATGGATGAGACAAACCATTTACCACTGACAGGGGTGCTTACAATAGTCAGCTTTTATTCATTTATGGAAACTCTGAAGTTTGGCTTCAATTTGTTAGTGTATTCAAATCTGTTAGTGCATCTCTCCTCTACCCAGATTAACAATGTTGCTGTCTAAAGGTGCCCCTGTGTTCCTTCATCTGGAGTGGAGCTACAGAAGGTATGTTACTGGCCAGAGCACCAAGTGAAAGCAAAGAGGAAAAAGCCTAAAAAAGTAAACTAATACAGCCACCACATCTAATGACTGGTAAACTGCAATATATTAAATTTTTGGTTTGGGGTTTAATACCGCTTTAAAATGACTTAAGGCATTTATTTTGCAAATTCTATCTAACAGTGCCTGTGCATAGAGTCTGTTATAAGCTTTGTATTACTCCTTTTCTCTTGCCAAAGCTCTTTAGCAATCCCTAGAAGCTGTGAAACTCAGTTAAAAATCCTCTTCCTTCATCAGGCTTTTCCCTGAATGAGACAGAGAGTCACAATAAACTTACAGCAGCCTCACTAAAAACATCAAGTATATGTCTTTAGAAAATAAATTAAAAATCACTAAATATCTGCATTTCCCCATAGTTTGTCTTGTTAAAACACTATAGAAAAATGCCTGTTGATCCTGCCAGAACTATAGTGCTCATAACTTGCTGTATGAGCTGACAACACTGACTCTGCTGCACTGAAATTCCAAGAAGTCCTGTTTGCTCTATTTGAGTTCTCTTCTTCTGGACTACAAAACCAGATCCCTCTTAGGTTATAGAAATGGGGAGAAATGGAGGTGTTATGTAGTGTATAAATTGAGCTTAAAATTTAGTGCAGCAGAGGTACTGTGTTGTCTGCTCAAACAGAAGGTTAGGACTACACTGGATTTCTGGCAGATCACTAGTTATTATTTGTATTTGCAGTGTCTGTAGAGGGATAAAACATGCACAAATAAGCATGTATTGCATTATTTGGAGGGTTTTCACTTTTTATTTATAGAAGGTAGCGTTGTGACATTTATTGGAAAAACTCTACCACTGCTATAATAAACACCTACTTAACGTTTCAGTTATTGCCCTCTAGCATCTCAGAAATAGCAAATCCCTGAAAGTAGTCCCATAAGCCCTGGTTCATACTAAATGCAAATTTGAAAACGTGCTACTTCATTTGCAGTAGCGTGATTTCAAAGCTGCAGATCAGTGCGATTTGTACCTCCAATTTCACTGCAGCTTCATTTAACAACAAAGTCGAATGAAACTGGAAAAAAGTAGTGCAGGAACTATTTTTGTAATCGCGCTACTTCAAATCGCACTGATTAAGACAGTGCTGTAGAAATACATTAGATGCGACTTGTGGTGCAATTTGTAAATTGCATGTCGCACCTGAAGTCGCACTGGTGTGAACCAGGGCTAACCTAGAAAACAGCAACATAGCTTGCCTTAATCAAGCCATCTATGACCAGCTCTACTCACCCTTTCTTGGTATCGCTTTTCAAAATAACTCATGTCATCTTCTGTTCTCATTACACTGGACAATGGTTTATCTGCACTGGGAAGACCTAAAGGGGAAACAGAAAAGATAACAAGATGACAAGTTCTGTCAGTCTATTGAATTAAAGTACATGTTATTAAAGATTTATGGAAGGTGCCATTCCTCACATCTCCTTTCAAAATTGTTGATTCTCTGGCTGTCATGCTTCAGCTTCAGCTTCAATGTGTTCTGACCCAGAACAAGTATAACGAGAAGGAGTTTCAACACTGACACTCACTTGCCTAATGCAATAACAGATATACAAGATAGCGCACAAGTGGACAAATGCTGGGCTATGTGGCATAGAATGGGCAGGAAGAAGATAGTCCAATATGGTCCATAAAGAGTTAACACACTCATAGCAGCTTCTCAGAGACTGAAGTGATCTCTGTGAATAAAAGTGAACACCAGAGGGAGACAATCTGAGTGTAAAGTGTGTATCTGAGTGTGGCCATAGCAATAGGTGCATGTCACAAATACATCATCTGTGGCTAAAGACTCAGCACTCAGGATCAATCAGTGTAGTCCAGAATGTAAAGGGCACCACCACTGGCTGGATTGGATAAAAAGCCTCGGCAACCAGGAAGCGGTCAGGGGTTGTGGAGCTCAGAGCAGAGGGAAACAGAAGCAACGTCAAAACCACCCAGCTCCTTTGTCAAGTCACCAGAAGCTACCGGGACCTACCTTAATAGGATCGTTGGGCACCATTACAATATCCAATTTTTCATCAGTTTACAGAAGGAAGTGTTAACGCTGAGGAACTGAACTTTAGCTTTATAAACTAGGTGAAGTGTCGCCTGTGTGTACTGTGCTCTATTTTCCTGCCAGTGTTGAGAAAGAACATTACCAACACTGCTCCTGATCACAAGTGACAGAACTATTCTCACAAAAACTTGTAACCACTTATAGTGCAGCTCAAGGTGCTCTGCTGGTAAAGGATCTGGTGTTTCATAGCAACGTCTGTGCGGGCTGCCTTTTGCTTGATCCAGAAAGCATTGAAGTATGAGGGGATGAAAAGACACCACACACCACTAGCTCAACAGGTGTAGAGGAATGAAAATGGCCTCTGCCTGGAACTTCCCCTAAGCCATACCCATCTGATGCATTTTTGTAACGCCCACTGAGGATTAAAGTGATATTAAAGGTTTAAATTAGAAAAAGACGAGGAGCCCAGATCCTCCTCTTCTCGGGTCCCCCGCCAGCACTCCTGGGCCCTCCCTCCTGATGGGGGCACCCACTGCTTTGTGTGTCCTTTCACACACAGCTGTGACTTGGCCCCAACCCTTCATTGGCTCACTGGCTGTGATTGACAGCAGCGAGAGCCAATGGCTTCCGCTGCTATCTCAGCCAATGAGGAGAGGGAGTCTCGGGATTTCTGAGACTCCAGTGCACATCGCTGGATCGAGAGGGTGGCTTAGGTGAGTATGGGGGGGGGGGGAATCTGCTGCACAGAGAAGGTTTTTTACCTTCATGCATGAAGGTAAAAAACCTTGAGCCTTTACAACAACTTTAATCATAGAGGTGGTCTTTGTTGGTTGTCTTGATCATCCTTGGCTGTCTTATATCTCCTTATACCAGCGGCTGGTTTATGAGTATTCAAAGCCAAAGTTGATTTCCAAACACAGGGCAAACAGTTCTGTCCCACTAGCTTACAATCCACTAACAATTCCGATGCCTACAAAACACCCACTGAGGGCCTAACACTGACGGTTGCGAATTTTGTCCTTTGAGTCCCTGCCATCATCTTAGTCTTCCTTGGCTTCAACAGGCAGACAATATTGCACCTGATGAGTCACATCTTGTGACCATTACTCCCAAATGTAAACAGACTGCCTCAAATCGTTTTGACATGGTTTGCACCAACTTGAGGATCAGCCGGCAGTTTTTTTCTAATCCTGTCCCCTGTCTAGGCTCCTTTAAGAGCCCCAAGACTGCCAAGACATTTTCAATGCATTCAGTTACTATCCATCATTTGTGGGGGCTGGGAGACTCTTGATGAACTCTTAGTACTGTCAAAACTGTTGGTAGCCCTATATCCATTTGAGGAGTCCTTTGTTAATAAGTGGGCTGTTCCACCTGTTTGGCAGTATTAGATCCTAAAGTGATGATGATCCTTGTGGAAGACATGCCAGTGTTTAAGGATCCCATCAATAAGAGATTGAAGATTCTTTCCAAGATTTTATTTTCCCTGGCAGGTGATGTCTTGCTACTTGCCTTGGCTGTGATGCTTGTTTGCTAAACTCTAGTTGACTGGACTAAGACAATGGGAAGGGATCTGGTCTCCTTTCAATCCCATGCTTCGTGTTTACAGCTCATATCTGCAGGCATAAGTTAATTCATGGATGTGCTGCTAGATGTTTCGATTCCCATATAAGTCTTCTGTCAGTGAACATTAGGGGAGACCCTTTGGCTAAAGTGATGGGCTATGGTTCCAGCATGCAAAAAGTAGTTACAGCTCATGCCCTTTGAGGGACAGCATCTCTTCCGAAGTGCCTTGAACACTCTCAGATGTCACAATGTGTATGAGTGCCACAGAGTGTAGGAGTACTCATCTGCCCCAGGACCCTAAACACTTTCAAATTGTGTCCTTGCCTTTGAGACAGTCCCTGGCGCAAGTGTTCATCAAGATTCTGGTTTGTGTGCCAGCCGTGCTGCACTTTCCGAGCATCTCCATTATAGGATATCTGAATAATCTCCTTTGGAGTGAGCATTTGGCTCAGGTTCTGATTCACAATGTAGCTCGAACCGTCCAGACCTTGAAAGGTTCTGCTGGGTCCTTAACCTTCAAAAGTCAGCACTGGAACCAGCTCAGCATTTAGAATATACAGGTCTTTTAAACACAAATCTAGCCAAGGTTTTCCTTCCTCAGTAGAAACGTCAAATTTTCTGCTCCCAAACTCCCAACTGGGGGGCCATCTAAACAGAATTCTGTTGGACAATACCATTGCAGTGGTGTACATCAACCATCAGGGAGGAAACAGAAGTCTTTTCAAAACAAGATAGATAAAAAGTATTCTATCCTAGGCTTAACAGTCACTGGCTTTAATGGTATGGCTGTTGAAGCCCAGGTTCTGAGATCATTGATCACCATGATGGTGATCCTGTGTGTGTACCTCGCAGCCACTGCTTCTATTAAAAAGACTGACTCGCTTTTTTTCATTCCTGATGGTACCCGTAAAGGGAGAACCTTTTTCTCTTTTCCCCATTTCTAGGTGGCCCTAACAGATCATCTTCCAAGCTCTGGTGTCAAGGATTGTGTTCCACCCTTTCATGTTAAGGTGTATTCTACTAGCTCAGTAAGGGCCTCTTGCACTTTTTGGAATCAAGCAATTGTCCATCAGATTTACACATTTAACATGTTTTAACAGGTGGATGATAAGGCCTCTTCTGATACCAGGGTCAGGCATACAGTCCTTCAGACGACTCTTTATGCTGCAGGCAGTCATCAGTATGTTGTTATGTGGGCCTGTTGGTGTTTTGTGGTTGTTGCCCAACCTTCAGTTGGACTGATTGTTGTCCCTCAGTGAACAAGAAAGAAAATGGGATTTTGGCCTTACCGTAAAATCCATTACTTGGAGTTCAATGAGGGTCCCATTCTGCTGTGTCTCTGGTCATGCTCTTGGTACTGTTTTTTTTTTTACAAAACTGAGGCATGCTGGAAAAGAGAAGGGCTATACTGGTTGGCACTGTTATTTTTTTACCAGTGTCCGAATACTTCTGTAGGCAGCAATATAACCCATCAGGTTCTGAATTCCCATGTCCCTCAATAAATTCTATGGAATAGATTTTATGGCAAGTACAAATGCCCTATTATACTGCAGCTTTCCAGACATTAGATGAGGTGCCTGCATTAGTTGTACTTTTTTGGGGATTTTCACCCATTATTTTTACGTAGTTATGCTTCAATCAGACTTCCTGTTCCTGAGTGGCTACATTCACTCCTCCACCGTATGTATAGAGGAAGCCATGATTGCCACCCAGGCCAGACTTAAAACATGTCTGTCTTTGTTCACCTCCATTACATAGGGGCTTATGACATTAGTTGTAACATTGTACTTTCTATTAAGCTCAAATGAAGTGCAAGGACACTGCTTTTCTGCAAGATCAAAAAGTATATTTTCTCCTGTTGAAAATATGCTTAACCTGGGAAAAAATGTTAGTGCAGCCAACACATCTATAGACAGGTAACTTTTAATATATTACATTTTAATTTGGGGTTTAGTTACACTTTAAAGCTAAACTCAATGCAGATAAAAAGACAAAAAATAATGCCCCATGTATTCATCAAATACACCAATAAATATTTTTTTATGCAAGCAGAGCAAAAGTACTTGAATTTTACTTGGTATCAACTGGGGAAAGGACAAGACCAAATGTTACTTAACCCCTTCATGCCTAAGGGTAAAACAAATCCTAACGCCTAAGCGCAATCTTGCAACTTTGACATGTGTTAGTAAAACCGTACATATCATCACAACTACTTTGTACATCCAGCTGAATTATACCTTGTTTTTTTTCAGGACAAATTGAGCTTTCACTTGGTGGTAAATGGTAATGGATATCTCCTGATCTTTTTGTTATTGGAGAACCGGGCCTCGAAAGTCACCGATTTTTCGGTTCTCAGTTTAACATTGGATTCTATGGGGAAAAGTGGCGAGGAAATCGTTTCTTAGATTTTGTCAAGAATATCTCAAAAATGTAAGGTGCTAGGGTCACCAACTTTTCAGGGTGCCTTCAGGAAGACCCAAAGTACATTATGAAGCAATTTTGGATTTTTAAACCCCTTCCTGGCCTTGTTAGCACCGGATCTAAATGGGTACTTTTGTCAGTATCGGTCCTCCAGAACCCTTGCAGCTAAAATTAGCAAACGTCTAGGTTCCGAGATATACATTTGTTGCTACTGGTCTAAGGTATCTATGCCTCAAACGTGCTGTTCCTGGACCGATTGGTACCGGAGATACGGTCGCCAGTCAAAACTGGCTCAAAATAGTAAAAAGAAAAATATTTTTTTAATTCAGCTGTGTGTTTCTTGTTACTACCATAACCTACCACCAAAGAACAACCCAAAATACATTTTCCAGCTCTTAACGATCGCAGCGATAGCATATATGTGTATGTTATTTGTTGTTTGTACCCACAGTACAGCCCAGAAACATTAGTGAGCATTTTGTTTTTTGGGGTTCTTTTACCTAAAACACACTGACACCAAGTTAAAAAAAAAATAAATCCTGACCTTTGACCCTGACCCAAACACTAACCCTGGTACTGAACTAGTTCAAACCTTGATCTAGGTATTTTTTCTTTATTTTGTATTTTTTTATTTATTTTTCTTTTTTATAACAAACAGTTTTTTTGTTTTTTTTTCCCTCTATGTAAGGAGAGAGAGAGAGAAAGCGATACAATGTATCTCTCTCCTGCATTCATAGAGAAAAAGAAACAAAACAAGGGGGCGGGCTGTACAGTGACTGATCATTGTTATAGCCAATCAGAGGCTATCACAGCGATCACGTGACCCAGAATCTGGAGTCCCAGGTCCTGATCATTAGAATGGCACTTGAGACTCTCAGTGACACCCCAATCTTTGTGCTGGAAGCGCAAATATGCAGCCCCATGGAAAAAAAAGCCCAGTCCTGTGATGCCTCATATTTGTGTGATGGCGGGAAGGGGTTAAAGTAGAATTCCAGGTTAAACCTAAATATTCTTGTAAATGCTCCTTACCCCTCCTAACTCCGATGCTGACTAACCTGAGTAAGAAAGACATATTTTTAAGACTAATTAGGTTTAGCTTGAAATTCTACTTTAAACTGCAGCAGAGAAAATTCAGGTCTCCAGCCCTGCACGAAAGGGTTGTGCACTGTGGCAGTGCTGTGTAAATCTAAAACTGGATGGACAAAAATACTAATGCTTTGGAAGGTAAGATGGCTCCCTTACATATACTTAATTTCAGTTTTAGCAATACAAAGATGTGTTTGGCAGGCTGCAGCACTTAAGAGGACAAGGAAGTTGCCAGACAAGTAACTATTGCTGTGTATGACTTGCGGTAAAAAAAATACATCAACATCTGTTTGCAGTTACCCTGTAAATACTGCATTTTAACAGTGTTTACGTTGCTCTGTTTGTAAGTGTGAATCTTCCCCATGGTATGAAGCGTGATGTCTTCACGCTTACCCCTGCCATTTTTATTAGATTAACAACCACAAATATTAATATACTTAAGCAGTTGGACTCTGAAAAATCCCCAGGGGAAATCTTCTCATGCAACTAATTGCCACTAACACTACTTATCCTTCAGACCATCAGATTTTGCTTGCATCAACCAAACTTCCAGTGTGTTTAGGGGCTGTACTGTACAAAATCTTAAATCAAAGAAAACAAGTGAACCGACATGAATAAGTGTTTTTACAGATGGCAGATCTTATAACAATATCAGAATAAGTCTTTCCACTAAACATAAGTTTTAAAAAACTCTGATGGAAGCTGCCATTCTATGACGCATGGACCACATACTACATCCACAGTTGTGTATTCGCTGGCAGTAAAGCTGAATAGGTTCTACCTAATTACATTAATATGCAACCTGTGAGCTGGGCAACAGTTGTTCCAACATAGGCTCTTAGGTGTGTTTTGTTTTGTAAAGGGGTTCCAACATTTTTCAATAAACAGAAACTAATCTAATGGAAAAGCAAATATGTAAAATCACACTCTTAATATATTTAGATGTGGCTACCGGCAGCTGTTGAGGATGAAGGACCATATGCCCTGAGAAAAGGGTGGGATCCACAATCTTCTGATGTTTCCAAAAAAACCTTGTCAGGAGCACCTGAAAGAAATGAAAACCCAAAATATTATTCGACATTCTGTGACAATGCAATCAATATCTAGTATCAATTCATCCACCTTACTTTTACTCATGCCCACCCCTACTTACATCTTCCCATCCAATCCTCAATGACTCCCCCCCCCCCCCCCCCCCAATCCTTTTCCAGTCATCTTCACCTCTTCCCTCTTTCTCCATCCTTCCTAGCATATTCTATCCTCATCTCTTTGTTTTCTACATCCCTTTCCAAACATCTGGCCGCTTCCATGTTGGCTTTTTCACTCCCGACAAACTCCATTATCAGTTGATACCCACTCTACATTTCAAATGTACGGTCACCCTGCTCGACTATAACCTTAATCCGAACCTTGAGCTCTTTCTATTCTAACTCTGAAGATGACACAATGCCTTTCATAAAGGTGGTTTCCAACCTGGCCCCACACCTCCCCCTCCTTCCTTTCTAAGCTCCCTTTCTTTCCCCACAATTCATATTTTCGTGTTCAACGATCGGACTGGAATGCATTGCTTAACTTAAGTGTATTTTGCATGAATGCCTAAGACCAAGCTGTGCTCACTGGCAGAGATGGATGGACCATAAGACTGGATGAAAAGAGTTACAAATACTTTATGAGGTAAAACATTTTACTTATATGTATTTCAACTGGGTATTTGGCCCTCCATCTAGAATTGAACATTAAAATGTCTGCACACTTCCATTCAAGGTGACTTGTAGTTACATCAAACTTAGAATCCAAATTTGTCCTAGCCTGAAATAGATCTTTACTTACCAACTCCACTTTCATCTAGTCTCATGTATCCTTCAGCAAGAGAGCTAAATCCAGTCAGGCCCCCCATAGCAGCATAAGGGACATCTTGGCCAATGGGTTTTCCCTGGGCTAGACGTTCTTCTTTTGTTTCCACCACAGTGTCGTGAGCAAATGCTGGTTGAGAACAACCACATGTGAAAGAACTGTGAAATCCTGCACAACTCGAACCTGTGTAAAGAGATGAGTAATTCTAAGCACTGCTATACCTTATTTACCATACACAACTGAACGTATCATATACATTTTGCTTTCTCCCAGATAAGTAAGGTCATGCAAGAATAAAGTTACACACTTTCTTGAGACAAAGACAACCTTCAGGCATGTCTCCTTCAACTGACCGACAGACCCATCCAGAAGTAAAAACAATCACTTATGATCCATCTCATAAACATGGCCAAGGCCTGTATTCCATCATTTTGGAAGCAGACACAGTTGCCACCTAGGATCCTGTGGTATTCCAAAATCAATGACATCCTCTGTATGGAGGAATTGACTGCCACCTTAAACAACTCCGAGAAAACGTTTAGGGAGAGGTGGGGGCCCTGGCAATATTCCACTTGCACCGATGGCTACTTGCAAGCCTTATCCCAATCCGAATCGATTACCGGTCAAGCCACCTGATTGGCACCTCTCATTGTGCAGGCCTTGAGTGATGTTTGCCCATGGAGAGTGCCCTCTGGTTATATTTCCTACCCCCCTTTTCCCTTCTTCCTTTCTTTTGCTGATTTCCTTTCTTTCCCTTACCCTCCTAATTATCCGTTAGCCTGTCTAATCTGTGAACTCAAACGGGTTAATCCTTTTTTTTTTTATGACCTAACTCTATAGTATCCTTTAGAACCTACTTGCTGTCAGTACAACTGGATCCGAGTCGTTTCATTCTCTATTAAAATTTTGCATTACTTCTATCGATATTTATTATTGTTTAGTGTTTAGTACAGAACTACTATAAGACCAGTTGCTAATCACCAGGGGCTAATCTTAGTCAAGTTATGGTGTGCACTAGACTTCAGGTGTGCCAGGTCAGTCTAACTGTCAGGAATGGACTTGCGAATAACGGTGGGTCTCATTTGCCTTTTGGGCTGCTGTACCAGGGCTGGCCCTGCGGGTGCTCTCAGCAATCAGAGACTCACCCCTGCAGTCAGCCAAAACACCTGAAGCTGATTGCAGGGGTTGTATTTAAGGAATGGCCAGACTCACAGTCAAGGCCTTGGTGTGTGTTTTTCCATGGGCCCCTGTATCTTGTATCCTGTGTTCCTGTTTCTGTTTCTGCCTGACTTGTTGCCGACCCTGCCTGATCCTGACCTCTGCTGATTTCTCCTGTTTGATCCCTGGCTTGTGACCCTGACCATTCTCTCCGCCTGCTCCTCCTGTACCTACCTGCCCGATAGTTATCGACCCGGCCTGCCTGACTACGTTGTGCTCTATATGTGTATGTACCTGTGTATCTATATCAGTTTAGGTTTGGGTTTGTTTCACCTTGTTGTATGTATTTGTGTTAGCTTGGGGTTTGGTGCACTGCGTTTATATTTGTATTGTTAGTCTCCATAAATTATATTATTTACTATATCTGAAGCCTACGTTTCCCTGTGTCAGTCCACACACTTCTGGTCACACCCGCATCCCTGACATTACACCAAGGCCAAAATCCTGACCAGAAGTGGCTGCACAGGGAAGCCATCTTGGCTTATTGTTTGCTGGGAAGGATGGATCTTGATGAGGTGGTGTATTTATCTCTGCTAGTGTTTGATGACAGGGATTATGCTTATTAGACTCTGAAGGAGTATCCCAGGGATCAACTACTAGAGTGTATAAGGATCACTCATTGCCTAGTAGATCAGGGCACATAATTCTCTGAGGTGCAGCCATTGATTCAGGTTTGTGCTGAGTTGGTTTCATCTGGTACCCCCGAATGCAGGGATGAATTTTTGCCGCCATTTAGTGCCGACCAGGTAAGAGTCCCTGGTATGGTTATTAGAGGATGTTGTGGATTACTTTCTGGAGCGTTATTCTGCATGTTCACAACAGGTACTAAGAGATTGTATAAACGCAGTGCAGTCTTTGACCAGACAGGCTTTGTGTAAGCGGAGCTTTGTTCAACCCATACTGCAGACATGGTCAGACTTGTTGCACCCAGCCTCAGTCGGCTTGCAACATCATTCCTCTGCACAAGGCACTCTTCCTGCATCCCTGACAACACCCCCAGTGACGGCCCAGTATACTCTGCTAACTACCACGTACCAGTCCCCTGCTCCCACTCGCTGCACCTATCCTTTCTTTAACCCTGTAAAGAAGTCCTCTGTAGCAACTGCTCCCTCCTCTGTTCCATCCTCCAGCTCTTCTCTGTCTTCAGCTGCTCCATTAGTTTACAGACCTGCGTTTACTTACAGTGCTCCAGTAACTAAAACCAGAAAAAAGCGAAAATTCTTTCCAACCAGTACCATCCTGCCAGTATCCAAACCGGTCAGCCTGCCGTCTGAGAACCCGCCTTCCGTGGTTCAGCCTGGTGCCTCGGCACCCACAATTTAGCCTGATGTCTCTACCCAGCCTGATGTCTCTACCCAGCCTGATGTCTCTACCCAGCCTGATGTCTTTACCCAGCATGATGTCTCTACCCAGCCTGATGAACTGATCCAGCCTGATGATCCTATTATGCCAGGTGACTCGATGCCCGCTGTCTTGCCAGATGACTCGGTGCCCGCAGTCTTGCCAGACGACTCGATGCCCGCTGTTCCGCCAGATGACTTGGTGCCCGCTGTCTTGCCAGTTGACTCGGAGCCCGCTGTCGGGCCGGTTGACTCAGAGCCCGCTGTTGTGCCTGGTGACTCGGGGCCCGCGGTCTTGCCAGATGACTTGGTGCCCGCGGTCTTGCCAGATAACTCGGTGCCCGCAGTCTTGCCAGACGATCCAATGCCTGATGACCCAGTGCCCACTGTCATGCCTGGTGACCCGATGCCCGCTGTCGTGCCTGATGACTCGATGCCCGCTGTCGAGCCAGACGATCCAATGCCTGATGACCCAGTGCCTGCTGTCATACCCGGTGACCCGATGCCCGCTGTCGTGCCGGTTGACTCAGAGCCAGCTGTCATGCCTGGTGACTCGGTGCCCACTGCCTTGCCAGATGACTCGGTGCCCGCTGTCGAGCCAGATGACCTGATGCCTGGTGACCCGATGCCCGCTGTCGTGCCTGGTGAACCGATGCCGCTGTTGAGCCAGATGACCTGGTGCCCGCGGTCGAGCAAGACGATCCAATGTCTGATGACCCGGTGCCCGCTGTTGTACCTGGTGACCAGATGCCCGCTGTCGAGCCAGGGGGCCCGGTGCCCGCCGCCCTGCCTGGGGGCCCGGTGCCTGCCGCCCTGCCTGGGGGCCCGGTGCCCACCGCTCTGCCTGGGGGCCCGGTGCCGCCGCTCCGTCTGGGGGCCCGGTGCCCGCCGCCCTGCCTGGGGGCCCGGTGCCTGCCGCCCTGCCTGGTTGCCCGGTGCCTGCCGCTCTGCCTGGTGGCCCGGTGCCCCGCCTGGTGGCCCGGTGCCCGCTGCCCCGCCTGGTGGCCCGGTACCTGCTGCCCCGCCTGGTGGCCAGGTGCCCGCTGCTCCGCCTGGTGATCCAGGCGTCCAGCCCGACGTGCCTCCGTCCGGTGTCCAGCCCGATGTGCCAGTCTTTGATATCCCGCCAGTTACCGGACCCGGGCGGTGGAACATTTTACTCAGCTAGGACTGTTTGGAGCGTCCTGAGGCCGCTCCTTGAGGGGGGGGGGGGGGGTACTGTCAGGAATGGACTTGCCAATAACGGTGGGACTCACCTGCCTTGTGGGCTGCAGTACCAGGGCTGGCCAGCGGGTGCTCTCAGCAATCAGAGACTCACCCCTGCAGTCAGCCAAAACACCTGAAGCTGATTGCAGGGGTTGTATTTAAGGAATGGCCAGACTCACAGTCAGGGCCTTGGTGTGTGTTTTTCCATGGGCCCCTGTATCTTGTATCCTGTGTTCCTGTTCCTGTTTCTGCCTGACTTGTTGCCGACCCTGCCTGATCCTGACCTCTGCTGACTTCTCCTGTTTGATCCCTGGCTTGTGACCCTGACCATTCTCTCCGCCTGCTCCTCCTGTACCTACCTGCCCGATAGTTATCGACCTGGCTTGCCTGACTACATTGTGCTCTATATGTGTATGTACCTGTGTATCTATATCAGTTTAGGTTTGGGTTTGTTTCACCTTGTTGTATGTATTTGTGTTAGCTTGGGGTTTGGTGCACTGCGTTTATATTTGTATTGTTAGTCTCAATAAATTATATTATTTACTATATCTGAAGCCTACGTTTCTCTGTGTCAGTCCACACACTTCTGGTCACACCCGTATCCCTGACACTAACTGTACTTTGTCTCCAGTTCGGCAGCTGAAGTTGAGTGCTAGGGTTTTCATTATTATTATTATTTTGCTTTGCTCAGCTTTTGTTTTTTTTTTTTAATATCTTCTACTTATAAGCTTATGGCTATGGTGTTATTATAGCCATATACACCGTGTGTTTAGCATAATGTATGTATTATGCAAAGCCACAAATAATTAAAGAATTAAAGAAAAAAGATGACCTTCAGAACATACATGCTTTGAAAGAATAAAAAGGACAGTCGATCCAAACTGCATTTTTTTGTTAAAGAGGTTCTTCAGTCATTGTTACAGAAATTAAATGTCAGCAGTTACAAAAACTGTAGCTTATAACTTTTAATAAAAAGGACACTCACCGGTCCCAGAATCCAGTGTTGTCCTCACTCGGCCGGTTTCTGCACCAGGATTCTGTCCCTGGCGTCAGCATACTAATTGCGGGCAGCAAGCTGTGACTGCTTGCAGCTTTTACAGCCGCTTGGCCACCACACTTCGCTACCTGAATGATCTTCTGGGACCTGTGAAATGTCCAAAAAGGCTGCAGGGGAAGGAGGGGGGGGGGGGGTGCAAACTTCCGCTCAGATCACCAAGGTGACTATTCTGACTGGAAGTTGGGTAGCGGGTTTCGGTCAAAACGACCCCTAAAAATATAAAGTGCCAAATGTAAAGGAGGAGAGGGGAATAGGAGGAAGAGCGGAACGTCCCCTTTTACGTGAAGTTCCGCTCTAAGGGTATATACTAATGGGCAAAAAAATCTATATCAGGCCTTGAAATTTCCACTCGCCTGCTCGCC